GGAACATTAAAGAGTAAAGATGCTCTGTAGACTGACATTCCACTTCTTGTAGCCTCTAATGCTCTCTGAAGTTTAAAAAAAGATTGGCACGGTCATCTTGTAAACGCCTATTTATAGTGTCTGCCTCCTGAAAAAGAAACAATTAACAATTTTAAAGCTTAAATGAATATGTTTTGACTGCAATATCAAATACAAACTATTCACGAATTTCAAATGACATTACTTATAGTTTTGACGGGAAGGCGTTCCATAGTTAAACATTTTGAAAGCAGGATTACGTGACTCTGCGTTCATTGAACGCCGCCTTTCCGTGTTGATCTTGTTTATCATATATTATATTGTCACAGTTTTCCAGTTCGCAGGATGGCTTTTTAGCAATGTAAATAACAAAAATATGAAGAAAAACAATGACAAATGAAGAAATTACGCTATAAAAGGTACTTGCTGCTATTCTAAACATGCTCTGGTGGAAATTTTGCTCAAACACTGAGGCGAAAGTAAAGCGGTGTACTGATGCGTGTGTAAACAATCGCAATTGCAACTTTTTGGCCCTTTCCGTCAGTTTACTTTCCGTCAGTTTACATTTTATTCACACTGTCACGTTTATAGGAACATGGTGGGGCTAAGAGTGAGGTTTGGTGCACCATTAACCGGTTATGTACAGGCTCAAACCGAGTCTGCAATTCTCTTGTACTAGTAATTCTGTTGTGATTAATGCTTCCAAGGGATCACTTTGCTTCCAGATTTTAACCTGCCCAGCAGTACTGGTGCTGCTGACCGTTCAAAGGCGGCGCCCCTCTGTGTTCCTCAGATGTTTGTCTATCTTGTTTCATACTGTTTTGGTGACACTTTTGCTCGAGTTCCTTGTTGTTTTCTCGTCTACGGTAAGTATCTTCCCCTTTGCCCCTAATTTTTATTTCTTTAATTTCAACCCACCCCTTTTCCGGGTCTTCTGTCCCCTTCCCCTGTGCTCATTTATTTGTTTTCTTTGTATTCCTTATCAGTTACAAATTATTTATCATTTTAGCGATTAACCTGCCCGTGCTCTGTCTTGTGCCCTGCCCTGTTTTTGTTTGGGTCCGTCTGGTTCTTGTCGCTGGGTCGTTTGGGGGTTGCGTTCATTGAGCGCCGCCTTTTCTTGTTATCTTGTCTATCGTATTTCGGATAAGGACCTCGAACACAATAGTATGAATACACAGAACGGATACGGTATTTTTGTCTAGCCTACGCTAAGAAACTAGACATGTAAACAAACGGTAATTTAAAAGCTGGTAGTTGTAGACAAGTTTATTTTCAATGTATAAAGTAAAATGGTTGTCAGTCATTTTCAATCATAACTGTACCGTAACAGACTTAATTTTCTTTTGGATGTCAATTATATATACATTCGTTTTACATTATGTTTACATATCAAACCACGTGGTAGAACTACTGTTTCCGAAGTTTTTATAGATAATAGCCGAGGACGTTCCGATTGTAAACAATCGGTAGGTGGCGCTTAATAAAAAATGTTGTAAGATTTAGAAATAGATCGATACAATGAGTCGAACGATACAATGGAGTTCGAGTACAATCTTTCCGTTTCTGAGTCATAAAGTGTCAATCAAACCGAGTCTGCAACATTTTCAATTCTGTTGTGTTGGACTTTCTTTAGGTTTTCTGTTTTATTCTTTTTTAAAGATTTCCAAAATATATTAGAATAGATAAATACCGAATCCCTAAAGAAAGCCCAACACGGCAAAATTGAAAATGTTGCAGGCTCGGTTTGATTGAGCCTGTTCATGGACGGTACTGAAAAGTGCAAGTCATATGGGGGTTGCGTTCATTGAACGCCGCCTTTCCTTGATGATCTTGTTTTTCATATGTTACCGTCTACGCCCCCTAGCACCGGCTTAAGCAGAATTCAACATTTAAACATGAAATAGTAAAATTTTGAATTTAGAAACATCCGTAGATGTGTTCATACGGCGGTTATCATGGAACCTTCAATGTGACACTTCCGTGCCATTCCATGAAAAGCGGCGTATGGTCCCCAAGTAATAAAAAGCGTGTGCCCTAAACGAGAAAACAATGGGCGGAACTAAATAAAATGGAATTTTGAAAGGAGATCAGAGGTTATGAAGCCTGCGTATCACAGATAAGACGTCAAAAGACGAATTTAAAAAGCAGGCAACATATCCTTAGGGTGATTCAACATTATTCAAGTAGGAATATTGGAACCACCCGACTAGAAAATGCCGAAAAGTTGAAACTAAAAATACCACAAGCACAACAATAATGTCGTGCTGAACGATCTTCAAGGATCGAAAATATAACATCATTGATTAAATGTACAGGGAGACTTTTTACAACCGCCACACGGCACAAATATCACGGATGTGATCATAAAATAGATAAATACAGAATCCCTAAAGAAAGCCCAACACGGCAAAATTGAAAATGTTGCAGGCTCGGTTTGATTGAGCCTGTTCATGGACGGTACTGGAAAGTGCAAGTTATGTAATATATAGTCCAACATATGTTAGACCTTAAATGGAGTATGCCGTACAATTAAGCAACCCTTATGTCAAAGATATTGATTGTTTAGAAAGAGACAAGTTTAGTAACTTAATTATCAAGTAGAGAAAAACAGAATCCCAAAAGAAAGCTCAACACACAAAAATACGAATAAAGATCAACAAGGCAAAGGCAACGTTAACAGGACGCTGCCCCCCGACACACCCAAGTAGGGCAACCAGAAGGCACCAAACAAAAACCTGGAGTGGATACAAGGGCGAAAGGAGTGGGATATGTGAAGTCTGAAATACGAAAACCGTTTTAAAAGTATAGCTTGAAAGACAGATGCTTACGAGATGATTTAATAGAGAAAATAAGAATCCCTAAAGAAAGCCCAACACGGCAAAATTGAAAGTGTTGCAGACTCGGTTTGATTGAGCCTGTTCATGGACGGTACTGTAACGTGACGTCAAAAGACAAAGTTAAAAAGCAGGCAACATTTCCTAAGGGTGATTCAACATTATTCAATTAGGAATATTTTAACCACCCAACTAGAAAATGCCAAATATTTGAAACTAAAAATAATACCACAAACACAACAGTTATAGTCCAGTCATTCTAGCCCGAAAATGGCCAAAGGTAGAAAAAATTGCAAAAGAATTTATTTGCATGTTTTTAAGTATTTTTATATGTGTAGAATAACGTGATAAGAGTTTCAACTGTTTTGCTTTGGCGGAAAAAACTCAAATATTTGAAATAAAACATGCCTTAAACTTTTGCTAGAATTAGACTGAATTGACAGAGCTTGTTTAATTTTTCTATGTTTTTCCGTTTAAATTGATCGTTTCATTGTTTTTGAGCAATTGAAGACAAAACATGTTTGTAGAAACTTGTGGTTTTATAAACTTTGCCATTTTTTTATATTTAGCTCATATTTGTCATATGCCGGAGGTAAAATATTACCCCACCCACTTTTTCAGCAAAGACAACACATTCTCAAATTTTTACTTTTAAGATACTCATTGAAACATATCATTCAGTTGATGTATCTTAGTGTTATTCTTTGAAAGTAATAATAAACAATAAAGAAACTAACTTTCAACCATTTTACTACATTCATGACAAAGGGGTAGATAATTTACTCCACCTATTTCAAAAAGAAATAATACAATAATTAAAATACAAAATGACATAAATTATTCAAATCTCTATTGTACACAAAATATATATCTTTTAGACTTGTTCCAAATTGATTTCAAAGTTCATTTTATTTTTAAAGCTTCATTTTGATTTTATATCAAATGAAATTCATATACATATATATCTGCAAATAACTGTCAATTATAGATAATTTTGGTCGCTAAAATTTAAGCTACAATTCAACTTTCAGTTTTTAAACACAATCAAGGTATATGGACTATAAATGAACGTGGTCAATACAGAAACTGTTATTTTAACAAAACCAGGATTTGGTTAAGGTATGTAACGAAATTGATTCGTTATGAAATACGATAGCATTATAACATATATAGGAGTAGATTTATCATTATTAGTGAGACTAAATATTTAAACTACAGCTACAAAATAAATATATTAAACAAGCACTTGTATGCCTATTAATTACTAGAAAGCAATTGAATTACATAAAACAATAATATAAACACACCATATTTTTTTTTACTTGAGCTTGAGAATACAGTGTCATACAAATATATACTGTATTTATATAGTATACAAGAAAATACAAGTTTGGTTGTTAAATAAAAACATTAGTTAACCAAAACTGATGTGTATACGGTAATCCATTACAACGTACATATGACTTAAAGATTTCTAACAATCTTCTTAATCCTCTTACAATGCAAATGAATACTAATACAATGTTTTCGGTCTTTGACCATCACAGTTATTCAGTTTTCAGACACATCATCGTCATTCTCATTAAGGGCGGAAGAGTTCGAGCAGGTACCCCGACAGGCCCCACAACCTTGTGAACAATCTAATCCATATTTCCAACACGTACACCGTTTAGAATCACAGTTCTGTCTACAATAACATCGTATAACTTTGAGTAGAGGTTCTGGAGCTGGCAGAAGATGTGTCCTTATTGGATATAGTTTGTTGTTAGTTACTTCCCATCCCCAGTCTACAGGATTCAGTTCATTGTTTCCAAGCCATATCTGAGTCTGAAGATATGTACGCAGTGTGTAATACAAAAATGCAGCCGTGGTCGATGGTAATGTCTCTACTTGGACGGATGTTTTGCTTGTGCATGCCTTGTGTAAACTTACGGAACCTCAGGATATCAAGCCCTTCTAAAGGAATACCATTGTTGAGGCCTTGTCTGTTTTGAAATCCAAACAGTTTTGACAAAAAAGTTTGCAGAATTGAAGAGGGTCATATTCTTAGGGGAAATATCAGTTAGCTCCTCAAATTTGACGGCCGACACTGTATTCTCAGGTGGCTTGTAATACTTTATGTCTTTGTTAGCCTCCGATAAATTGCTAAAGTTGGCATTCGTCCTTGGAATTTTTAGGAGTTTTACATGAAATGATGTCCATTCCATGAAAAGTATTATGTCCATCAAGTGTACAAGAATTATGGTCTACATTGTCGGCTACAAATTGCATAAACTGTCCAGGGAAATAATCTTGGATAGATGTGGTGTTTGAAGCTGCTGCATTCATTTCAAACTTTTGAACTTCACCATAGGATGCACAAAGACCTAACTGAAACAAAGTTTCAACAAGGAATTTAGAACCAAAATGGTGGTGCATTTGTACACCTAGACCTAATTGTAATGGGCAAATTACATTTCTAGGTATGCATGCTTGCATTATTGCTTGGCCAATAGTAGCTATTTTTACCTCACTGTTTTTCTCAACAAAAATATTGTTCAAAAATACAAGCAAACTTGTTGGCACAAAAGCTAAATTTTCTTTAAGTGATTTAACATTTTCTGATGAAGGGTAGAAAGATTTATCACACTGTATTGATTGTATGTCATTTTTGATAAGTTTAGCAGCAGTTGTTATGATATTTTCTCGTTCGTCAGACTGTTCATTTTGCTGCCTCTTGTGAAAGTTATGAATTATACTTGATGCAGTAGTTTTTAAGCTTATGAAGTCACTTTTACCATCAAGATTCCCAATAACAATATCAGAACCAAAGTGTTCTATAAGCTTATTTTTCATATGTTTTGCAGTATAAGACTTGTCACCACAAAGCTCGGTCATTTTTTTGACAAGATCACTCACTGAAATGACTTTACCTTCAGATGTTTCGACATAACGCACAAGTTCATCAAATGCCAATTGTTGATCTCTATTGATAGGTCTCCCCGGACTTTTTGCACTAAGTTTTTGGCGTTTTCTTGTATTTGATTGGTATTTCATAGGTATGTCTTTTCGATTCCTGAAGTTTGTATTGCATATTTGATGATAAACTGCATCAGCAGCAGGCAGATCAATAATGTGTTCTATTCGCCCAAGCACAGCAATACCCAACAAGTCATTTCTCTCTTTACATTTCCGAATAATTGTATCTTGAAAATCTAAAGTTTTAACATCCCACACATCACCACCAATTTCTTTTTGTTTGATTTAGCATAATTTGTGCAGAATAAGCAGTCAGATTTTATATTAAAGTTCTCTTCTGATCTCAAACGTCTGCTGTTCTCTTGGTCATCCATCATGTTGTGCCCTAAAACTTAAATTGAAATATTGAACTATCTACATAAGAGTTGATTAAAGACCGAACTAATATGAAGTATTGGCTTGTGTGGCACCAGTAAAAAATCATCCTCGGTTTTGAATCATTTTTGTTACATTTTTAGTTCTTTGTGTGAAATGTTTTTATCATATTATTTAGCTATGTACATGCAAGATGGCGTGAATTGTGTTGATATTATATAAGTAATCGTTGACAGTCCCAATCAAATGGGGTCTGTTATTGTTTTGCTTTTATAGTGTCCTTACAATGCATATTTTTTCATATCATAAGAGAATGTCTATTTGTTAGTAGTCATTGGTTTAAAATTATTTAATAACGTAAAATAATAGAGCATACCATGAACATGAATGTAGAAGGCAAACGCTTTTAGATCTGCTTGTCTTGCCAAAGATTTTACATGATTTTACACACTATGTCTGAAAAACAAAACAAACAAAGCATATAAAACCCAGAATTGGTTTTCTTTAAATAATAATAATAATATTTTTCTTTAATTGTACAAACATTTACCTTAATGATAGAGATAGATAAAAAGTTGCCAAAAGCTACACGTATAGCTTAAGTTTAATTGTTATATATATTCACCGACAAGAAATGAATATTGACGGAGCTGGCTGCCAAATTGGGGTTTCTTTTTCTGGGAACAACTCGTTAGCAGCCCCAATCAAAACAAGTTTGCTATTCTTTTTTGCATGTTTTGCTTTGCTAAATTTTCATTTTCAATGTTTGTTTTATGATACAGAGCAATTCATTTTATTCTCAAAACACATCACATACCTTTTATTGAATTGAAATATGATCTGACCTCAGATAATACTACATGTGAATTGACTGCTTTATCAATATACTGGAACACCTCATTAAAACCAATCAGGTTGACATTTCTGCAAAATAAAATATGACAATACAATAAATGGTATCAGGAGTAGTTAATTATAAAATTTTATTTAATTTCATAGACAATAGCACACGTTAAAAATCTAACCAAAAACACACACTTACCACTGCTATAAGTTCCTACAGTTCAGCCCACACCTTCATTTCTCCAGTTCACATGTCTTTTACCTGAAAGAAAAAATACTTTCATTATTTTTTTTTTTAATACAGTGGCTTGGTATTATTTTTTACTTTTTATTTTATCTATTTTAAGCTTTCATATCCACGAAAATAGTTTACTACACATAAAAGTATATATGAAATGACAGCGAAAGCATGAGGATATAACTAATTGAATAGTATTATATAAATTAGTATTGTACATTGGTAACATAATTAAAGTATCTATTTTACCTTTAAACCTACATGCACGTAACGAACCAGCTTCAATTAAAAGACTTCTCCACTGGTACAGTAATGTCAATCTAAAATGAAACAAATAAAAAAGTACTTAAACTTATACATTTAACATGCATAATAAACTTATTTAGCCAAAACTTTGTCATAAATCGCCAAAAAAATATTTAAGAGTTATTTTCCAAATTTCCGAATTTTGACCCAAACACGCTGCCGTAGTTTTAATTTTTTTGCAGACCTTTATTTACCAGTTATATAAAAAATGATTTTATACACAGGAACAACATATATTTTATATAAAATAATTGATCATCTGCTATGCACATATTGATAGGGCCAAAAAGAGATATTTAACCTTCATTTGATGCATAATTATGTATTGTTCATTTCTCTGCTGTAAACTCGATTTTGGCTTAAATATCAAACATTTTAGACATTGTTTAATGTTGAAATTCAATATTTATAGGAATTATTACAAAAGATAACTTACTTTCTTTTATATTCCTAGTAAATGCTTAACATCACACGATTCACACCAGTTGTTACTGAAAAAACTTGTTACGTACGATGAACAAGGAATTAATTCTTTTGCAATTTTTTCTAGGTTATAAATAGAATGACTGGACTATTATGTCGTGCTGGACGATCTTTATGTACAAACTCAATGAAACCGAGTCTGCAATTCTTTTGTAATTTTGTTGTAATTAATGCTTCTGAGGGATCACTTTGTGTCCAGATTTTTTTCTTTAGGGACCCTGTTTTCGTCTTTTTTACTTTGACTTTAACATAAGCATGAATTGAAGCAATAGTTTAATGTAACAAATTACCCGTAATACCATTATTTCAGACAACATATGTTGGTCTACATAATCCAATTGTTTTTGGTTTGTTAGTTATTTAGCTCACCAGAACCGAAGGTTCAGGGTAAGCTATTAGTGTCAATGGAGGATGCTCCGGCGTCCGTCGTCATGCGTCAACAATCATCTTCTTCTCTGAAACTGCTGGGCAGATTAACCTTAAATTTGGTCTGTAGCATCCTTGTGACAGTGACGAGTCGCACTTAAATTTGCTCATGTCATTTCAATTGGCCCCTTTTAGGGGTCAACAGAGCTTAATATAAAAATAAAAACTTAAATCATCTTCTCCTACAGAACTACTTGATGGATGAGCACCAAGCTTTGTCTGTAGCATTCTTGGGTAGTCTTTTATCAAGATTGCTCATATTACTTTGATTGGCCCCTTTAAGGGGCCTCTAGGACTAAAAATACAAACAAGAGGGCCATGATGGCCCTGGATCGCTCACCTCACACAACCGCATCCAAGCAATGTCTTAGACAAGCATCATGGCCAAGTTTGATGACAACTGAGTCAAACATGTGACCTCTAGTGTGTTTAAAAGGTTTTTCCATATTTGGGCAATGTGACCTAATTTTTGACCAGACACGACCCATATTCAAACTTGACCTAGAAATCATCAAAACAACCTTCCTGACAGATTTCCAGAATATTTGGATCAAAACTGCAGCTACTAGAGTGTTCTATTTTTAGCTGCTTTGACCTAGTTTTTGACCGTAGATAAGCTATATTCAAACGTCACCTAGAAATCACCAAAACAACCTTTCTGACCGATTTCCAGAAAATTTGGATCAAAACTTCAGTCATTAGAGTGTTAACAACCTTTTTCTATTTTTAGCTCCTGTGACCTAGCGTTTGACCGGAGATGACCGATCTTCGAACTTGACGTAGAATTCATCTAAATAACCTTCCTGACAAATTTCCAGAATATCTGAATCAAAAATGCAACCAATAGAATGTTAATAAGCTTTTTCTATTTTTAGCTCCTGTGACCTAGTTTTTGATTAGACATAACCCGTCTTCAATCTGGACCTAGAAATCATCAAAACAACTTTCCTGACAAATTTCTAGAATATTTGGATCAAAACTGCACCCACTAGAGTGTTAATAAGCTTTTTTATATTTTTAGCTACTGTGACCTAGTTTTTGACCGGAGATAACCCATCTTCAAACTTGACCTAGAAATCATCAAAACAACCTTCCTGACAAATTTCCAGAATATTTGGATGAAAACTGCAGCCCCTAGAGTGTTAACAAGCTTTTTCTATTTTAGCTCCTGTGACCTAGTTTTTAACCGGACATGACCCATTTTCAAACATGTCTTAGATATCATCAAAAAAACCTTATTGACAAATTTCCAGAATATTTGGATGAAAACTGCAGCCACTAGAGTGTTCACAAGCTTTTTCTTTTTTTAGCTCCTGTGACCTAGTTCTTAACTGGATATGACCCATCATCGAATATGACCTAGAAATCATCAAAACAACCTTCCTGACAAATTTCCAGAATATTTGGATGAAAACTACAACCACTAGAGTGTTAACAAGCTTTTTCTATTTTTAGCTCCTGTGACCTAGTTTTTGACCGGAGATGACCCATCTTCGAACTTGACCTAGATATCATCAAAACAACCTTCCTGACAAATTTCAAGAATATTTGGATGAAAACTGCAGCCACTAGAGTGTTAACAAGCTTTTTCTATTTTTTAGCTCCTGTGACCTAGTTTTGACCGGAGATGACCCATCTTCGAACTTGACATAGAAATCATCAAAACAACCTTCCTGACAAATTTTGCAGAATATTTAGATTAGATAAAAACTGCAGCCACTAGAATGTTAACAACCTTTTTCTATTTTAAGCTCCTGTGACCTAGGTTTTGACCGGAGATGACCCATCTTCGAACTTGACCTAGAAATCATCAAAACAACCTTCCTGACAAATTTCCAGAATATTCGAATCAAAACTGCAGCCACTAGAGTGTTAACTAGCTTTTTCTTTTTTTAGCTCATGTGACCTAGTTTTTGACCGAAGATGACCCATCTTCGAACTTGACATAGAAATCATCAAAACAACCTTCCTGGCAAATTTCCAGAATATTTGGATGAAAACTGCAGCCACTAGAGTGTTAACAAGCTTTTTCTATTTTAAGCTCCTGTGACCTTGTTTTTGACCGGAGATAAATCATCTTCGAACTTGACCTAGAAATCATCAAAACAACCTTCCTGACCGATTTCCAGAATATTTGGATGAAAACTGCAGTCACTAGAGTGTTAACAAGCTTGCTATTTTTAGCTCCTGTGACCTAGTTTTAGACCGGAGAGGACCCATCTTCGAACTTGACCTAGAAATCATCAAAACAACCTTCCTGACAAATTTCCAGAATATTTGGTCAAAACTGCAGCCACTAGAGTGTTAACAAGCTTTTTCTATTTTTAGCTCCTGTGACCTAGTTTTTGACCCGAGATAACCCATCTTCGAACTCGATCTGTATTTCATTGAGACAAACATTCTGACAAAGTTTGATGATGATCCAATCAAAACTGTGACTGCTAGACTGTTAACAACCCAATTGTTGACGACGCACGACGACGGACGCCGGACATAGCCCCATCACTATACCTCACCTTGACCACTTCGTGGTTAAACCGGTAGGGGACTAATTATTACCAAACCTGATATTGCTATTCATTACCAGATGGCACAAAATCAAATTGACATGGACATTGATGTCCAAAGTAGACCATACAAATACTGATAGGGAATATTTTTTATCTCAAGACTCAGACTATTCAAGACCAGTCTCTATGGCACAAGACAGTATTACCCAATCTGAAGCTAAAATACTTGAGATTGCTATATACAAATGATAAATGCTCTCACTTCAATGGAAGAAGCTGTAGACCAGAGACTTAAAAACATAGAAAGAAGACAAGATATATTTGAAAACAGAAATTCAAATTCTACTGACATACCTAGTAGTAACTTTTCTTATGATGACCAGACCTCTTCATATAGAATGTCAAATACAAACACTATCAAAGTGAAACCCTCCAACTTTTGATGGTACCGAAGACTTAAATGAATTTTTAATATCATTTCAAATTTGTAGTGATTTGAATAATTGGAACATTAGATCCAAAGAACTTTGCCAAGCTAGTTGTTTAAAAGGTGATGCCCGATCAATGTTGACTGAAATTGATACAAGAGACCATTGTGACTATAAACTGCTAGTCGACCTTCTCTATCAACGTTATGGTCCCGCCAATAGAACAGACATTTATAAAACTTAAAACCAGAGTAAAACAAAAAGGGGAGACAATTTCTCAATTGTCACAAGATATTTATAGACAAACAAGAAACACTTATACCAGTGCTTCTAAAGAAGTAATTGACGTCATAGCCTTTAATCACTTTATTGATGCTATTACAGACTCAGAGATTAGATTAAGACTAAAAGAAATATCACCAAAAACCCTATAAGAAGCTGAACAAGCAGCTATTAGATTAGAGGCCTTCCGTACAGCAGATAAACAAAGGAATAAATTAGTAGCATCAGTCACTGACCCAGAACAGGAAAGAAAAGACCTTAAACTTGATACCATCTGCAAATCATTAGAGTCAATTAATAGAGACTCAACTGACCTTAAAAAGATCAATCTAACAGATCCATGACAAATAGACATGTTCCAAACGATTATTTCCAGAGATCTAGACAAAACTTGCCCAGATATAGTAATTCCACTCAGACATACAATGCCAAA